CCCTTCCCCCCTCCCCCCTTTCGCTGAGCCCGCGCACACTCCTCCCGCATGCCTCCGCGTCGCTAGGCCGTGCGCGCGAGATTTTGCGAGAAGCAAGCGGTGGGATGAGGGAATATACTGCGTGCAATGCTGCCCCCCCTGGAAAAGAAGAATGTGGAGGGCGGCGACGGAGGTTTCTGTCGCATTATGGGCACTTACGCCCCTCTCCCCCAGTTTCATACGGCTCGCCATGGCACTCGACAAATAGCGCCACTCTGTCACTCGTCTTGATTCTTTCCCTTCGTGTGTGTGTATGTGTATCCTTTGGGTCGCCCCTCGTAAAATTTTACATTTGCTGCCCAAAGTGGCAAAACTGAAAGCCCCTACCCTAAAAAAACAAAAACAGAGAAGGTGTATTTACCTGCGCTGCGATACGGCGGCGGCCGAGCTTCTGCTGAGGTTCAGGTTGTGGCGGCCGGTGGGAAAGCTTCATAACGGACTGCCCCCTGCTGGAGAACAAAGAGAAAGCAAAGGGGAGATAAAAGTGTTAATTTGCGTATAGCAGGGGATTATGCAGGTGGTGGTGGGTTTGCACGCAACGCGAACCAAGAATAATAAAGAAGAGAGGACAGAATTTCTGAGACCAAAAGAGTGTCCTCTTTTATAGAATAACTAAAATGGGTTTACACTGTGGGTGGATTTTGAGATTGTCAACTAAATTTGAGTCTGAGGGGTGAAATATATGGTTGGTGCAAAATATTCTGTTTTTTTTTTTCTCACACTTTCCGGCGTGCGGTCGGTCTATCATGAGTCCACCCATATCTAAAAGTGTCCTAGTACTGTATATTGTCATGAGTCCACTCGGTCCACCCTAAAAAAATTGATAGGCCTTTTGAAGAAAATTAAAAAGATTGAAATTAAGTGAGGCATGCCTTGGGGGGACGGCAAAATAGTGTCCAGTACGGAATGCCTTAAGTCCGCCTTACTAACTGTTACTGAAAACCTGCACAGTTTTCACGGTAGCCCCTCTTTGGGCTGTAACAATTACACGGTTACGGCGAAAACGTGTCGAACAGCATGAGGTCGTGCTGTGCGCCGTTGGCGTGAGCGTTGAACAGACAAGGCACGCCATCGGAGCGCACGTCGTTCGGGCGTCACAGGGCTTTATCCGGCGCCACATCGCCATATAGCGCGGACCCGCCTGACGGGCGCGGCGATAGCGTTCGGGCAGGGCCGCGCGGGCGCACAGCACACCACGGCCAGGGTCGGGCGAAAGGCCGTGACTTTACCGCAGCGGAGTTAATAAAGGGCGCAAACTACACGGTCAGTGTGGGGGAAAAAGGGAAAGAAACGCGCAGAATATTGACCGTGCGGCAAGATTAGAGGCGAGGCGGCGAGCCTCAGCGTCGTGGTAATCAGTGTTAGGGAGGGGAATGTTGTCGGCCAGGAACGGGTGTGTGCGCGCGCGCCGGGCGTTGTTGATGAAACATTCTGGAGAAGCAGCGTCCGGGCAGCGCCTGAGGGACAGGCAAGGCAAACATGTAGGGGTGTGTTTGTGGAGGGGGGGGATGGGGGGAGGATCTCCTCCGCTAAGCCTATTGTATCCGGGCATGTGCCCGGGGGGAAGGGGGGGGCGATAGGGGGCTCTGCCTCCAGATCCTTGCTGCTGCACTCCCCTTCCTTCCCTACAATAAGCCCCCCACCCTCTCACGATTCCTCACTTTCTTTAATTCCTCATCCCGTCTGAATCCCCCCAAAACGTTCCTCTTTTGCTCTCGTATTCCACACACATACAGACACACACACACACGCGCGCGCGCGCAGAAGCCACCTCTCCGTCCCTCCCGCCACGTCCCGCCCCTCCCCTCCTCTTCCACACACGGGCAATCCGTTGTTGCCACCTCCCTCTCAGCCCTCAACTCTACCCCTCCTGCCACCCCTCCCCC